GGGCAGGGGGCAAGGTCTGTAAACGCAGCGTGTGGGTCTGGACACCTTGGAACCATCAGCTGGTCCGCAGGCAACGCCAGGGCGGGTGTCTAGATGATGATTGGGGCGCGGCTGAGATGACGCGCTGCTCAATTGGCAGTACCCAAGCGGCCAACCTTCTGCTGCAATGCTGAACACCCCTGTGTTGCCTTACACCCCACGCCTTTATTGCTTTGCCCCCATCAACCGACAGCCCCCTGAAGGACAAGCGTGTAGTGCTGGAGGTGGTGCTGCGCGGCGAGGGCCTGCCGGGCGGCCGGCTGGTGGCGCGCGCGGAGTGGAGCTCCATCGACCTGCTCATGCAGTCGCCGCCGCCCCCCACCACCTGGCTCGGGGTGCACGCGGTGCGTGGCCGCCGGCGTCCCTGCTGCCAGCCGTACGCTGACCCGGCGCGCCCCGCAACGCACCGACCACCTACGCTGCAGCGTTGGCCCTTCTCAACAGTGGCACGCTTCGATTGAGGGCAAAGGGCGCTTCATCAATGCTGGCATAAATGGCTACGCGCAGTCGATTTGTGCAACCGACTGTTGTCCTGCGCCTCCTCAAGTTGCCTCTCGCACTGCACCTTCAACCGCCCGTCACCACCACCTGGTTGGACCGCCTCTCATTCCGCGCCTCAAACCACATGGCGAGCAGGCGCGCCAGAACCAGCTCCCAGGCATGCGGCTGCCGCTGCCCGGCATGGAGGGCGCCGCGGCCGAGATCATATGCCACGCGGCCGACGCGGACGCGCGCGCCTCGGCGTTCGGCGTGCCGGCGCTGTCCGTGTCGGCCGCGACGCCGCGCGCGCCGGCGGCGCAGGAGGCGTCGCAGGAGCAGCGGTGGAACATCCTCAAGCAGGTGGGTCACAAGCAGCAAGGAGGAAAGCCCTTGGTGGTGGCTGTGTTTGACACCGTAAAGTGGATCGTGTGGTTTCGGGCCCAGTGCAAGGAAAACGGCGGGGCGGTTGCAGAAGGCGCAATCTGTGTCAGACCACTGCCCGGTCTGTTCGCCGCTGCATGTGAAGAATGCTGGTCATACAATTGAATACTCATGCCCTCGCTGCCCCACCATCCGACCGCGCCGTGTGCACGCACCAGATGGCCCGGCGGCGCCGCACCCCGGCCGCCACGCAGCCCCCGCCCGACGCCTCTGTCGACGAGGCAATCGCCGCGGCCTTCATGCCCGCGGCGCCGCCGCAACAGCCGCAGCTGCCGGCGCCGAGCCCGATCGCGGGCCTGCCCAACAGCCTGGCGGGCGCGACGCACGACGGGCCGCTGGCGCGGCTGAAGCTGGTGATACACAGGGTTGAGCTGACCCCCGAGCCCTCAAAGTGAGGGGCCGATATTTGATAGCGCATGGCCTGACGCGATTTGGAGCTGAGTTGTCCTTGACAATGGAGCTGCATTTGTGCAGTCCCTGGCAACAAGGCAGGAAGAAAAGCGACTGTTGGTTCTGTTGGCGATCATGAACGAGGGCGACTGGCTTGACAGATACAGCTGAATGTGCGGGCGGTGCCCCTCCACATTTCATGCAATTCCTCCTTGATGGAGAGTGGCGCCACCCTCGCTCCCACCCCTGCGCCCCTGCAGGGGCTACAGCGTGGTGCTGAAGCTGGGCCCTCACTGGGCCAGGAGCAGGATGCGGCACGGGGCGGAGCTGGAGTGGCAGCTGGAGGTGGGCCCGGCACACACACTCATGCACACACGAACACACACACACACACATGCACACACCAACACACACACACACGCAGACACTTGCACACATACACACACAAAACACACTCACACGCACAAGCACACACATGATTGCGCGCGCACTCACACACACACACAAGCGCACACGTGCGTATGCACGCAGCTAGCAGCACACGCGCTTGCCCACCTGCCACGCACCTTTTCAGACTTCCGCCTCTCTCATGCTGCCTCCCCCTGCCAGGTCCCCATCTACCACCCCACCACAACACTGAGCCTGGTGGCCTACACTGAGGGCCGGCGGGGGCGGCCAGAGGTGCTGGGCAAGAGCCTCTACCGCATCAGCAACCTGCTGGTCATCAACAACAGGTGGAGAGGGGGGGGCACTTCTTCAGTTATCTTGCGGGCCGCATGCACGCGTGCCATATGCAGCAGCGCACCTGATTAAGGATTGAAGTGCAGGTAGCGGCTGTCAGGTGGCGTCGGGCGGAGCGCCGAGCCTGCTGAAACAGGCGGCTGGATGTAGGCCGCTCGCCTTGCCTGGCAGGACAGGAGCCGCGCGCGCTTGTGCATCACCTGCACCGGCGCGCCCCAAGCGCACCGTGCGCCTGCCGCTTTCCATACGTGACGCCTACCGTCATCCGCTGCGCGCAGGGAGCAGTTCAAGACCTTGCGGCTGCGGTCGGACGCCCGGGACGAGCGCACGCAGCAGCGCGCCTGCGCAGGTGCGCTGCGGCGCGCCAAAGGGGCTGGGCGCGCGACTGCCCGCCGGCACCACTCGCGCCAGCCCGTCCTCAGTGCCTTGTATCACCCACCAGCCGTGCTTGGGCTAACGCTGTATTTGAGCACTGCAAGGACCCAGGCACTCTTGCTGCTCCGCCTCCCATCAGCCCTCACACCACGCTTTGACCCACAGCATGTGCCATCACCTCGCCCACCACCTTCTCCTGCACCCCCTCGCCGGCACCACAAACCTCTTCCTCCCCCCCTCCCCTGCAGGCACCGTCCTGTCCTCCTTCTGCTGCCTCATCCCGGACCGCCGCCGCCTGCTGTCCGCCTACGAGCGCTCCCCCTACCCCCCCACGGTGCACCTTATAAACCTCTTCCACCGCGCCAACCGCGACGCCATCGCCAACCGGCACCACGAGAAGGTCGTGTCGTGGCTGGCGGCCGCGGACCCGCCGGTGCCGCGGGCGGTCGCGTGGAAAGTGCTGGAGACGGGGCGGG